ATCTGTTGTAGTATTTATCGGTTCTTCAGTAGTAGTAGTAGTGATCGGCTCTTCAGTAGTCGTGTCGACAGTAGAAGAATCTGTTGTAGTATTTATCGGTTCTTCAGTAGTAGTAGTGATCGTGTCTTCAGTTGTTGTATCGATTGGGGAATCAATTCTATCGAATGTTTTTTTTCTTATAACATCCAATCTTTGATTTAAATTATTCATTCTAAACATGTTTGAATTATTATTAACTTTATTTATATCTTGGTTAAAACCCATATTATTTGATTGATAATTATTATTCTCAGATTTCGGATTTCTCATTACATATATTTTTGATTTATTAATTGTATCTATTTCAATATTTGTCCAATATATATCCCGATGCACCTAGAACATTGCACAATTAATTAAACAAGATATAATTTAATGAATAATAATCGAGTATTGAATTTAATAGAATTTAATAACACATAAAACACAAAACATTGCAACTTTAATAGTAACATCTATAGTTTTAGAAATATTTGCATTTTTACTTTGCTCGTTTATAAAATCGTTTCTCAACTTTGACCCTAATGAACTAATTTTCAAACTTATTTTCTAAGCAAACTCATCTTTATAATTTTTATATTAAATAATTATGTCTAAACTAAATGATATATTATTACTAATACCATTTTGCGATATACTTTTTACGAATGCTCGAATAAAGTCATACTTACTTTATTATTAAGTGCATCTGGTGAATAATTTATCAATAAAAATATATGTAAAATTATTGTTATTTTCATTTTAATCATATTCATATTTATTTAGCTTTAAGCACTTTTAACTACACAACTTTAAACACTCGATAACTTAATTTAACTGACAATGCAATAATAATTTGGTATACAAATATTTTTTATTTCATTATAACATTTTAAAAATATGTAACATGTTAAATTATGAGTTTGTACGGATTTATTAATATTATAATTAATTATTAGTACATTATATGATTTGTTTTGTTGTAATTAAGATTTCTATCTAGATATTATATAGCATCATAGCCTTAACCTTACTACATCTATTGCGTCCTATAATAAAAATAATTTAATCAATGTAATTTAACTAATTTACAACTATTACTTTTATCAGTGTTTACATTTAATAAATGACACAAATTAAAGGTGCCGGTAAAATTATAATGAAATATGTGTGTAATTATCAAATTCACCATGGTATTACGTGTTTAGGATTTTGGTGCCACAATTATATCACGTCTTCGTTTAATAATTATACTCTAATTAATGAAAGTTATTATATTTAATTATGGTAAATGTATTTGCAACGTTAATACAATATATTATGTTAGTATTATTACTTATAGCTAAATAGGAGATCCGTATATTCAGTATTAATAATAAATTACTTACATGTTTTGTAACGTAAATATTTTACTTTGATTAAATTATTATTATATAATGATTTTAATAATTAATTAAATTTTTATATAATAAATAACTTTATATCTTACTAATACACAAATTATTTATTTGTTTGAAATGACAAAATTAATGCTAAATCTAAATTCAAAATTATCTATAATATACTATTCAATATAAAATGAATCACTTACTTTTGCAATTATTCTGGAACAATTAAAGTTACAATATTGTTACATCATACACATACATAAGTTAGTTTGAAAGTGTCGGGAACTATTTATAGTTTAAGAATTTGTTGGTCACGAAATTATTTTCTGGGTAAATGACGAATATTAGCCCATAATTACAGACTACAATGTTTATTTTAGTGAGGGTGGTGGGGGTTAGGATTATTATACCACCACCCCTTCTTATAACATACACAGTAGTTAGTGACAACATAAATTATGTGACAAGGTAATCATTTAAATTTATTTTTTAATGTCACTTAATCATTACTTAATTAAATCATTTAATATTAAATTATTATTAAAACAGGTAAATAATATTTGTTTGTCATGATTAGTTAATGAATATAAGTACAGTATTTTGTTTTAACCATGTCATGTTAAAATGCAGTATGTTTTTCAATTGTAGTTTATCATTAAATTAAGTTTTTATGTTAATATTATATTACTTTTCAACTATCAAAGTTTATTTTTACTTGAACCAAATTATTTAAACTTGTTTTTTACATAAACTTTAATTAAAATGAAGTATACTATTATTATTTTGGGTATATTATCATTGAATTCATTCTGTATTGCATTTAATTGGTTTGGAAGTGAAGATAAAGAAGGTAATTGACATAATAATAATTGTCAAACTTGTTAATTATATTGCACAATTAATTTAAGTTAGTTTAAATTTATATTTTTGAAATAATGTACATGTAACTTATCGGCAGTATAACATGCTTGTTATAGTACTTGTAATGAGATTCTTCATTATGTAAACTAAATCATAAAGGTTAAAGCTAATACATTTGATTTATTTAATTTATTAGAGCCAACACCTATTGTTGAAAGTGTAAATGATATTGCACATTATCACGACATTATTGGTCATGGTAAAATTATTTTTTAAATGAAAATTAAAATTAAAAAGTTATCTAATTATAAAATAATTTAAAATATAAGAAACATCTGCCGTGATCAACACAACAATGACCTGGCTCACTGACATACCATGTGTTAGCGGCGCTAACAGCAAAATCAATATCACGGCCATGTACACTATGGGTCAGGATTATGGCGAGGAAACGTGCAACGGCTATATAACCCATGTTAATTATCTTGAATTTATGGCTGTCCAACAAAATCCGAACATGGTTATACAAATTGTCATGGATAAAAACAGTCGTGTTGAATTCAACGTAAATGGTAGATGATCAAGTTTAATTAATATAAATTTAATAAATGTTTATATTTTCTTAAATGTCATTCTATAACATTATATATTTATTAGATAGAATTTTAATATTATTACTGAACTAATTTACCATTTTCTCATTTAATTATAATAATCTAGGTGATAGATTAACGCACAATAACGGGGTTGTTAGCGGTGGAAAGTGCGCCGGGTCAAATTTCATTGAGTACACGATCTATAAAGGATATCCGGCCAATGGCTGTCAAACTAGTACAGGTATTAACAGTCACTCAGCCCTATACCGGCTCATTGAGATCAGGGGCGAATGCGATGTCACGTGTCGCGTTAATCAGCATGCTGGGATTGGCTTAGTTTCAGTATTTTATAATTCAGCATTCAATACAAAAGGATTAGTTTAATTTACACTAGTCACTTAAAAATTAAATAAACATTTTAATTATTTATTAAGACATAATTTATTTAGTTTAAGATAGTTTAAAATAGTTAATTATACATTTACGATAATTAAATTACATAATTAATAGTTTAATATAATTTAATATAATAATGTTACATAGAAAAAGATAAAATGTTATTTAGATAATTAAAATTCTGTTTAAATCAAAGAATAATTAATTTCTAGAATAATTTCAATATATTTAAAGTAAATTTGATTAATTTGTATTAATTTCTTTGTTATGTTAACTAAATTACTGAATGATGTATAGAGAGTAACTAAAAATAAGTTTTACAAAAAACTGTAACTTATAAAATAAATGCCTCATATATAACTGATTATTTGAATATTATTTTTATAATGGCATAAGAATCAATGCTCAAATATTTTGCATTAATAAAATTTTGTGCCAGTGATATTGGCTAGATCCTATAGACGGAAATATTCAAAATCAACTATGGTCAAAATTGTAGCATGAGCAGATTACTAATAAATAATTCAAATAAATATTTAAAAAAATGTTGCAATTTTGCTTTATTGTTTATACAATAAAATAAAAAGTATACAAATATTTTGCGTTAATTTGGCACAACTGTACCATCGTAACTAATTGTTTGACCTAGCACCTGGCCATCTACCGATTGAATCACCTTGATAATACCGGCCACACTAGTCTTCACGTCCAGCGGGGCTGTGGGTCCGCCGCCAGCGGTTCTCACGTGACCCGGATTACAGCCAATCACAAAAATACTGTACGGTTTGAGGTCTATGGACAGGCACTTTGTGATCATGTTTAGGGCAGCCCTACTCGTACGGGTGGGGTATATACTGCCCGCTCCTCCCTGTCCTGTCATCGTAATAGAGCCCAATCGGGACGTCATGTTTACCACCAGTGTTTTGCGTTGAAGTGCCGCTACCTATGACCCGATAAGTAGGGTTAGTTTACTAAGATTTTTTGCATATTTACAAAAAACTGTAAATTAATAATAATAATAAATTAAATAAAGTTTAAAAATTTTTAAATATTTTCATTTTGGATTAAACAGAATGTTTTGTATATTATTAATTAATCAAAATAATTTTAAGATAGTAACTTATATTGTTTAAGCATGTCACTGCTTATATATTTATTAAATAACTAGTAATTAATCATTTTTAGTAAATTTATTTCTAACATTATTAAAGCTGTAATTTTATACATGACCTATTCTAAATACAACTAAATCTGTGTGAATTATAATCATTTGGCAAAACCAAAAAACCCGTAGTTATTTTTACAAACAATATAAAAATCAATTATTTTATTGTAAAAATACAAGGTAATCATTTCATAATTACTAATTTTGCAGCTAAGTTTTGGTTAATCATAACTTATGATTCATAAGTCAATTTTTAAATTTTATTTTATTTTTTATATAACTGTAAATTTAAACCATATTTTTAAAAATTATAATTGAAGATTTTTAATATATAATAAATTGGATAGGACTACTTTCGCCGATTATTATTTTTAATATAATACCACAAACATTGTCATAGTATTTTAATAAAATATTTAAATACTTAATTATATTATTTATTAACAAACCTTAAGCACGGGTAGCAGAGCTTTAGTCAACATTAGGCCAGTCAACGAGTTAAGCTTAAAATTATCAACCATATCAGCAGGGTTAACATCATCGAGATTTTT